GTTCTAATGAGACTACATTACCCAACGTCCTTTGCGCGGCCGCAAAGCCTTATGGGTAGCTTCTCTCAACGTCCTTGACGCCGGGGCTGGTTTGTCTTGTGCTTGAAAAGCTTTCAGACATGATGGCAGCAAGATTTCTCCGCCGGGCTGTCCCTGTGCTCAGACAGACTCGCTCCTATGCTGACGTCTCCGGTGGCCCCCAGATGTCCTTCACTTTTGCCTCTCCAACCCAGGTATGAAGCTGATGCTGGTGCCCAGGCTTCTCTGGCCCACTTAGCTTGTCGGCTAACCTAGTAATATATATGTCGTTAAATGCATGGCACTGACTGGTTTAAACTCTAATCCTAATGTTGTCATGCAGAATGCAACCGATGAATGGTTTAATTACATTTGCTGCCCAAAACAGGTAAAACTCGCGCGCATAATTGATCTGAGTGTCTGAAAAGTATTTAGCTTTGTTAGCTTAGCCTAGTAGCTATAATTCTCTTTAAAGACCGTCTTTTGCAGACTAATGAATCATTGTAAAAAAAAAAGTTAAAGTACTCCTTCTATTAACCTTTCAAGTTTATTTTAAACACAAATGTTTAAGTGTAGCATTGTATTTCATACCAATAACGTGTTCTAATTATTATCTACTATTTGCATTACTGCTGCAAGATGGTTGTTTTGACTCTCTGATTTTATTAAAATATATGTACTTGTACAAACGAGCCCTGATTTAATTAGGTCAGAGGTCTGCAACCTTTATGATCAAAAGAACCATTTCTGCCCCTTGTTAAAATGTGTCCAGAGCCGCAAAACAAGCTACAACTGTGATTATCAATTGGTGGTCCACGGGCCTTTCCGAGGCCTTTTGGGAAACCTTTATGGTCAGCGGAGGTGACATTATAAAACTAAAGAAAAAAGTTATTATAATTGTATATGTTATTATTATACACATCAGGACAAATAAAAAGACCATATTCATGTACACAAGAAAAATACTGCTTATAGTTTATACTGAATTTCATAAAAACTAGTACAACTGAATTATTCAGGCATATTTTTTTCTAATACTTATTATTATGTAGTCTTTAAATTATTTAAAGGTAATTCTGATGGATTTGAGAGAAAGATCATAMAAATAAATTGGAATATTTTAGTAAACAACAGACTAGCATGAGCTAACATGTTTTACTTTTTTGTTTATTCATTCATTTCATTTAGAAAACAAAGCAAATTCAGTATACAAAAAAATGCAAATGAAAAATAAATGAACAGCAGCAGAAGGAAGAAAAAAATCTTATAATATCTGCACCTTTTTACATCAAAAGAAATTCAAACAATAATAAACAGGAAAAAATATATAAAAAACTAAAATCTTTCTCAGTGAACAATGTCAGTTTTTTTTATTTTATTCATTTATTTATTTGGGTGCACCCCTAGAGAAAACCCACGCATGCACGGAGAGAACATTCAAACTCTACGCAGAAAAGTCCCCAGCTGGGATTCTATCCTGCAACCTTCTTGCTGAGAGGCAAAAGCTCTACAGACAAGCCACCTGCACAAGCTCCAATTATATTCAAAATCCATATAATCCATATATATTTATATATTTATATCCATAAGCTCAAAGTCGGTGCAACAACATGTTTTCTTTTTTATTTTAAAAGAAACTCCTCATTTAAAGGAGAACAAACACTTTTATTCCCCAACTACAAGAATATAGAGGTCAAAAACAAAGCAACCCAGTATTTCACTAGAAATATAGAAGAGGAGGCAACAAGCAGCAGTAGAATTGGCTTTACGTTTTATTTTATTTTTTTCATGATCAAAACAGTTTTTACTCCAGCTGTATTTGTTCTCTTAAAGTAAATTRATGGCGTGTGTGTTTTCTGTTCTAGGTGTTCTTTAAAGAAGCCAGTGTGAAACAGGTTGATGTGCCGACACTTACTGGTGCATTTGGTATCCTGCCTGCCCACGTGCCCACCCTGCAGGTSCTCCGGCCCGGTGTCGTCACAGTCTTTAGTGACGACGGCACCTCTTCCAAATACTTTGGTAAGATATCTCAGAAACGTGTGAAGAGCATCTGTGTTGTGGAGAAATCCATCCAACTTTACTGATTCCTCCCTACAGATTTAACAKGTTAGACTTTATTCACGTTGTGCTGGTCTCATGATGATGGCCAGCATGTCACTAACTGTGTGTGTGTGTGTGTCTACACTCGCAGTGAGCAGTGGGTCAGTAACAGTCAACGCTGATTCTTCAGTACAGCTGCTAGCAGAGGAGGCCGTACCCCTCGACCAGCTGGACGTTGCAGTGAGTATTATTTCATGCTCGTCACTCACGAGAACCAAAACTGAAGGAGTGTCGTGAACAGGGCTGGGTATCGTGGCCATTTCTGTAAATTGATTCAATTCGATTCAGTCTGCTCATAATGAAAATTGTTCAACTGTGTTGTAGGGCTGCGTGGTAGACAGTAGAAACGGTATGAAGTTGGCCTACAGTAGAAATTTACCCTCTACCGTAGGGCTGGGCCATATCATATCGTTCACGATAATACCGGTAAAAAAAATCTTGACCAGTAAAATAAATAATATCATGACATGCTAATTTCATGACTGACGTCATTCTGCCCGTGACGGAGAACCTGCTTGTTTTCTGTTGCGAGACCGCAACAAAACTGGGCAGCCCAGTCTGATACAGTGGGGAGAACAAGTATTTGATACACTGTTGATTTTTCAGGTTTTCCCACTTGCAAAGCTTGTAGATGACTGTAATTTTTTATCATAGGTAATCTTCAACTGTGAGTGATGGAATCTAAAACAAAAATCCAGAAAAATACAATGTTTGATTTTTAAATAATTAATTTCCATTTTATTGTGTGAAA